CAGAGTCTCGCTATGTCGCCCAGGCTGGAGTGCACTTGTGTGACCTTGCTGCAACCTTCGGGTTCAAGCAATCCTCCTGCCTCAGCCTCCCCAGTAGCTGGGATTACAGGCATGTGCCACCACACCTGGCTAAGTTTTATATTTTTAGTAGAGACGGGGGTTTCATGATGTTGGCCAGGCTGGTCTTGAACTCCTGACCTCACACGATCCACCTGCCTCAGCCTCCCAATGTGCTGGGATTACAGGCATAAGCCATTGTGCCTGGCTAAATGAATGCCTTTTAGAGTCTATATTTTAAGCATACAAGCAATATTTTTTTTCAGTATAACGAGGATAGTACCTATTTGGAAGCGGAGCAAAGAAACACAGTATGCCTCATAGAGCAGCCAAGAAATCTAGTTTTAAAAAGTTCAGTGTAAAAAAATCACAGAGCAAGTTGCTTGTGCACTATTTGTGTGGTATTTTCCTCCAGTCTTTCTTTCTTATTATTTGCCTTAACACATAATATCAAAGCATCTGGATGGATGCAGTGGCTCATGCCTGTAATCCTAGCACTTTGAGAGGCCGAGACGAGCAGATCATGAGGTCAGGAGTTCGAGACCAGCCTGACCAACATGGTGAAACCTCATCTCTACTAAATATACAAAGATTAGCCAAACCTGGTGGCACATGCCTGTAGTCCCAGCTACTTGGGTGGCTGAGGCAGGATAATCACTTGAACCTGGGATACAGAGGTTGCAGTGAGCTGAGATCGCACCACTGCACTCTAGCCTGAGTGACAGAGCGAGACTCCATAAAAAAAAAAATTAAAGTGTCGTGTATATTCCTAACTTTATATCTACAAGAATCTAACTTATCGCCATAGCTAAGTACTACAGTATTAGAATTTATTCTGCTGTTCAGAGTAACAAGCTGAAGGTGTTACCAATGTTTCTCCTGTATTGAGATCACATATGGCGGCCATCAACTACTTTTCAGTGAATGTGTCCTAATGGTTCCTATCACACATCCTTCCTAACACGTTGATTTTACTATTAAGGTAGCTTGTTCTAGAGTAATCTTTTCCAGAAGTAGGAATTTTAATAATGCTATCGTATCCTAGGTGACCAAGAATACTTGATCTGGGGTGCATGAAAAAGCACCCAAGAACACATATTGCCTGTTGTCAAAGCTAAATCGTGATAGCTGATTGTGTTGGTCACGGACTGCCTTCCTTTGACATGGCAATACTGTATTTGTGAATGCTGTACTGCACTAGGAAAAAATCTGCTCTATAGGATAGTGGTTTCTATTCCATATTTCCATATCCTACCAGAACCCCCCCATTGAAATCTTCCTCGAAGTAATAATTTTGTTTAAATATATTAATATATATTAATCTTTTATACATATATTATGATTTATGAATTATATATTAAATATATTATATTTAATATCATATTTAAATATATTCACACATTCAACAATTGTTCAGGAAGTGCTTATTAAACAAATAAAATTTTAAAACTAATGGTAAGTACCACAGTAATTTCAGATTCACATATCCCATTCATTAATTTTAAAATATTATCCATCTCTCAGCCTGCTGATGGACATCCTTTAAGTAAAATTTCAAAGCAAGCATCTGTGAGCAGTTTATGTTCCAAATTTGGCATATCTGAACAGGGAGGTCGGTGTTACAGCAGCACATAAATTGGTTTGTGCTTGCTTAAAATATCCTCAGATTACATATTTTGCTCTCAAAACTTTATCTCACTATTGCATCATATTATGGCACTGAGTTAAACAGAATTGGAAACCAGTGTAAATCTTTTATTTTTTTGCCCAAATGGTTGTAATTTCTTTCCTTTAAAAACTTGAAATTCAACAACTTTGCCAATTTTATTCTAAGTTACTTTTGTAAAAAAAACTTTGTGTGACATTTAGAGAACAGTTTTGACCTGTATATTCAAGTCGTGTCATTTGTTGCTGTTCTGTTTGGTTGTTTGTTTTTAACTATGAAAAGTATTTTCTTCTAAAGAATGATTGTTCAGCTTCAGTTGTTTTCATTCATTCTCAGTGGAAGCCAATGATTTACATATTTTTATATTTTTGTTTTCTTTCCTCTGTACCAGCTCTTATTTTTGTTATTATATATTTTCTTGGTGTTTTTAGAGAACTGTCTACTTTATTAGTGATTTCATTTTCTACAATGTCAATTATCTTGTTCGCTACAGCTGAAGCCAATTTTAATTCTTCCATTGTGATATCTTCTGTCTTCTTTTCAGATTTGTGCCAGCAGTGTTTGTAGTTCAACACTCCTCCTTTCCTCTTATTTTTCTCATTTTATTTTTACTTATTTATGATAAATAATTTTTTCTTACATGAAAACTGCATTCATTCGCTTAACTTTGATGTTTAAAAAAGTATTAAAAGAGGTAAAAATCTCGCACGGTTAATACTTGCAAAGGGCATTATTCCCTTTGATGGGTCACTGTCTTGGTGTTCTCTGAATCTCACAGACATTTGAGCTGCACCCCATCCCCAACCCCGTTGTCGATGTGTAGCTTTTTAAGACAAATTCCAGGATGGAACCAACATTTAAACAGCTCAATTCCACGTTACCAGATGTATTGGTTCCTAAACACTTCTAAGCATTCTGTCAGTCCTCAGAATGGATCCTTTCAGGGTTAGCAGTCTACAAATACCTATTTCCTCCTTTATGTCAAAGGCTGTAATGCTCCATAAACCTCATCAACTTTCAGTCCTGTACAGAAGGAAGTTGTGGACTTCCATAGAGTTGAGAATGACAAGACGATGAGAAGGCAGTTTTGACTAATTCTAAAATAATGACCGAGAATTAAGAGGGAACTCAAGTTTTCTCATTGGTGCCTTGGACAACGGTCTTTATTGGATACTTTTTTTTGATGGGTAAAATCTTTTTTGAAGCTTCCTCTTTATATTACAGCGTTCCTATTTTAGATATTCAAACGTGAATTAGCCTCCTATCACTTAGTAAGCTGGCCTATATAATCTTTCAGCTCTGAGATTTTAAAATATTTTACTAGTCTTCTTGGTTTCATTGGCTGTCATAACTTATTTTTCTGCATTATCATGGCTGTTTTAAAGGTCTGGCACAGTCAAGCAGCATTACTTTCTAACATGAATTTCAAAGTCTTTAATTATAGTTGGTAATGATCTCAACTGCCTGTCGATACATTTGCCTTAAAATGATTAAGATTTATCATGATATTAAAAACTCTCAAATAATGAAAAATGTAATGCAATCGCCTTTCAGAAAATTTCACATGAATCGAATAACTGATGATGTGCCTTTAAAAAAAAATACTCTGAGACAATAATTTTTCTTGAACTTTGAAGAAATGTAACTTGAAAGGAAAGTAGACTTTTGTTTTAAAATTCATATTTTTATGATTATGGAGCAAATTTTGTGCCACTATATAGAAAAATATGAAATTCCAATTTAGAATTCCATCATGAAACTACACCATTCTAATTTCTCCAGGCCACGGTTTGTTAATATTCCGCAAAGTCCCAGGATGCAACTATAAGACTGCATTCAAATCTATGAACATGAGGCAATCGTGCTCAGCAGAGTATAACAATAATTATAATAGAGATTAAATAAAAATAATTAGAAAAAGTTCATCTAGTTTTGATGTATTAATTATTCTGACCCTGTTCTATTCAGAGTCTAATTATCTGGTTCAGTGAAAATGCCAAGATTTCTACGACTCATAAAAATTACATTCAAGTAATTATGTCAGCAAACTAAACAGTATTCATTTACCATGCCTTTTTATGCACACATTTGAATGTGCTTTTTTAACTGTTTTTGCTCTTTGTTCCTATTCATGGGAAATAATACCTGTAGAGAAATTTGAAAGTCAGTTGCACTCCGAGTGCAATGTGCAGTTCTTGCTGATATTCTCCTTTGTAAGACTGCTGTAAGTCTCATATAACCTTTGTTTAAAAAACATGAATTAAAGTTCACTCTTCAGTTGCTTCAAAGAAATCTTTAAAACCTGTAGCTGTAGTTTTGAAAAAAAAGTTTAAAGCAGTCGTACAAAGCATGTCACAGAAAGTTTCTTACCTTGGGTGGCTCAGAAGCTGACTAAATAGGTCTCTGCAGTTACTTCTGCTGCCATATTTCCCATAGGAACATAAGACACCCTATAAAAGAGGCTGGATTTAGAAGTGTGTGTGTGTGTGTGTATTTCTAAGTCTATGTATAGACATGTACATGTAAATGTAACTTAATTTATATTTGATATATATTACTTAATTTATATTTAGATATATATTATCTAACTTAATTTATATTTAGATATATATTACATATATTATACATTATCCTATGTATCTACTGTGTGTATATATATATATATATACACATTTATATATGTATATATAAATACAAATACACATATGTGTATATAATATAAATATACATATTTAGAAATATACATAAATGTATACACACACACACACACACACATATATATAATATTTTTAAACTCTCCAGCAAGTTCAGGACATATCTGAAATTTCAAATCACTGAGAATTTTTAAACCATGAGAATGTTTACATTCTTAAGGCCCAGTTAGGACCTTCTTAATGCTAAAAAGTAAGTAACTTCATGTAACAAAGAGTTACACTGTTGAAGAACGCAGTATCTACTGCACCCCGTATAATCTATTTTATTATTTTAATAAGGTATTTTTATGATGGGCATGTTAAATGAAAGTGTATTGCCTGAAGTGTTAGGATTATTGCTTTATCTGTTTTCTTCTTTTTGTGGATCGACAGACACAAACTTAATTGAAATTATAACTTCTAATTATATTCACATTGAGAAGACTACATTAACAGTTAATTTTTAAACGCCTTCCTAGGAATAAGACATATTTACATGCACACACAAATAGGCATACAGCTAGAGCATATTCATCCACAGAGAAACTATATTTTTCTTGATAAAACTGTACTTTATCTTTCAGGTGCTGTATACAAACAAGTTCCAAACTATATCGGAAATGGGGAGAAGTTTCCAAGAAGTGTCATTAAAATGAATGGAGTTGAAATGGGACAGAGGTGAGAGGCAGCAGCTAGAAAACTTTGAATAAAATGCACCTACAGCTAAAGAAATAGACAAGCCTTTCTGACGGCCCTTGTGGCTCTGCATTTGCATACTACAGATTCCACCTGCGTGACAGAAGCTGGGCTGCCGACGGAGCTGGAGGAGGTGAGAGATTCCAACAGCGTGACTCCTTTGCATTTCCCATATCCATAGAAATAACCAGTCTAGGATTTCCACAGTTTTTTTTCTTAGTCTCCGCTTTCCAGGGTATGCTGAGGTATTGCTTAAACACAGTGCAGAATCCCAAGAAACTAGGAAACTTTTCTGAGAAAATGTTCTGAGTTGAATGAGTCAGCTGTATTCCTCATTCAGCACATTTACAAGCTTTGAGATGTTGGACACTGGAAAGCAGACACTAATGTTTTTTCAGTAGCAGTTTGCATCCACGTTTGAGGGAATCCGACCTGCAGGAAAACACCGTCTAGGTCCCCCTAACCCTTCTAAACACAGCGGGAGGATTACGAGTAATAAATAGTGTGAATTTTGCCACCTAGAAGGTCTCATTTTGATACCTGTTACGCAGTCCTCTTGAGCATTGTGCTCTAATTTCCTATTACTGAGATGTGGAAAATAAAACAATAACAGAAACTGGCAATGCACCATTGAAATGCCCTGACAGGCAAAGTCCTGGATGGCTTGCACATGGCTTCCTAGAGGCTTAGCTCATTTCTTGCTGCTTGAGGTAGCCAGTTTGCTGCATGCCGTGCCCTCCTCATTTTACCTCCTCCCTTAGGCTACTCCTGTAGCCTGGTCAACCACACAGGTGGCATACACTGGTGGGATAGGTCAGGGCAATTTCTGTAGGCACTAGGACAATCTGGGGTCTCTTCTCAGCCCTCCAGTGTGTCCATAATGCTCTTAATGTGCCACAGGCTCTGTGCCACCATGGAATTTGATCTGGAAGTCTAGAGCCCTTTTCAGGGAGTTGCTTAAGCCTGTAGTCCTCTGTTCTTCTCTCTCGGTGTAACTGTATCATTTTAGAGCCGCAAACACGGTTGTAGCAGTAAAATGTAGTAATTAAGACTGTAGTAGAAGGTCACTGGCTTTTCAGTCTTTTTCTAAACAGCTCTGCGGTATCAGGCAAAGTACAGAACTCTTCCTGTTGTCATATGGGGAAACAATGGCCCTGACTCAATACATTGTTGTGGGATTAAATAAGTTAATGTGTGCAAAGCTTTAATAAAGTACTTAGTAAATAGTATATACAATACTATGCAAGGATAGCTATAAAATGACAGTAACGTTTCACATAAAAAGGTTACTATTGACTGCTATTATCATTTCTTACTTAGTGACTCATGTAAGAAGTTAGGCCCATGCCTATCTGGTTTAACTCTTGGTATTTGATGTTAACTGAATTATATTGCCCTCAGATTCATTTATTGAAACACTAATGGGCTTGCATTAGAAGGTCAGGCATTTGGGAGGTAATTAGGTAATGAAGGTAGAGCCCTTCTGATGACATTAATGCTCTTATTAGAACAGACACAAAAGAAATGTTACTCTTTGCCATGAGATGTCACATAAAAAAGTAAAGTCTACAAGTAAGGAAGCAAGATCCCACCAAGAACCAAATCAGCCAGCACCTTGATCTGGGGCTTCCCAGCCTCCAGAACTGTGGTAAATAGTAGTTCAAGTCACCCAGATGGTAATATTTTTGGCTATTTTGTGACAGCAACCCATGCAAACTAGGGCTGTCTTCAAGCAAACAATTCAAGGTTCACAAAGTTTTTTTTCTGTCAAACGTGGTGTTTCCAAGTTGAAAGCATTTTGGATTTCAGGTCAGTATCCCTATTACATATTTTTTAACTTTTTTAGAGGTTCAATTGACTTATTTTATTTGAGGCTACATCCATCTTCTCCTGAGGCAGAGAATGCCATTGGCACAGGTTTCAAAATCCTCTGGTTAGCACAAAAATTACAGAAAATGCAAAATTCCAGCCTAGGAATTACTCTCATGTGTAAATTTTTGTAACGTAGAAGTTTGATGGCAGAAAGAGAAAGTGTCGTGCCTATCAATAAAGCAGGGGCTGCTTAAAATCTTTCAGCAGGAATCACACAGCTTGGTAGGGGTCAATTATTTCAGAGGCTTTCTCCTGTAGACCTCACTCAATCTTGCTCCCTTGTAGAAGAGGCAGTTTCTTCACCGTGTGCTCAATAAAACCAATACTCAGAGAAGGCAGATAATTTTCCACAAAGCCAGAAAACTAGTAAGTGAGCAGTATGAAACAATACCATTAAATACCCTCATCATCTAGATCAGTCATTTTAGAATTGTGAAATGTAATCATATACTGTATGATGTATATCATACACAGTGTCATATGCTGTATCACAATACACGATATCATACACTGTATCACAATACATGATATACACTGTATCACCATCCACGATATCATACACTGTATCACAATACACGATGTCATACACTGTATCACAATACCCAGTATCATACACTGTATCACAATCCACGATATACACTGAATTACAATACATGATGTCATACACTGTATCACAATACACGATGTCATACACTGTATCACAATACACGATGTCATACACTGTATCACAATACACGATGTCATACACTGTATCACAATACACAATACAGTACAATACACAATACAGCTTTCTTTTTGTTTTTTCTTGATTCTGCATATAAGAAGCTTATAAATTTGTCTTTTCAATGGTTGGGATTATATCCAATAAATTTAATGATTAGGATGATATCTAATGAATTGGCTGTCCTAATTTCTAAAATGTGAAACCTCTGCAGACTCAGTAACGATTGATCTATTTTCCTCGGCTGTGTTAGCTACTGCCCAGAGGGTGCTCATGGCATTATGTGTCCCTGTGCTGAATTTCTAAAGGAATTTGTAGTCTGAGGCAAAATTTATAATAGTAACATCGAAGAAATAAAAAGTAGCATGTAAAAATTCTGAGTATAATTATTAAAAATTGTATTAGTTCGGGTCAAAAATTTCAGGAATAAAGCCATATTAAAACTTTGCATGGAAAAATTAACTTTAATTTGTATTAAACCATAGAGTTAAATTTTAATACTTTCTATAAGGAAGAGCAGAACGAGCCAAGATAAAAGTATCATTCCTGTGCCAGCATATTTTTGTTATCCCAAAATAATTAGCAGAAGTAGATAAATTAATTTAATCTTTTACAGCTCACTGTTCTAACATGAAGATGTACACCTGACTCATCTAGAAAGAAGGGATTCACTTTGTTCAGCTTTCTGGCAATGGGGGTCGGTGGGAGGCTCAATCTACATTATAGAAGAAGAGTAGCTTAAAAAAGAGAAGTCAGGGAGTTTCCAAATTTAATATGTACTATGTAATGAGTATCAAGAACAGCAGAGGGAAGTAATAATAAAGGTGTCATTGGCATCTGGGAAGAGAACATTATACATTTTATTGCTGGAATATTCTATACCAATATCTCTAGAAACATTAACTATTAATTACATCTTTGAAAACCACAAGCAAGTATATTTCATATGTGAATAAATCCATATACTCAGAGCCACAGTTTTACGGTACTTACGATGGATCTCTTGATACTGTAATGATGAAAGAGCTCTCTTGGGGAAAGATGAAAAGGTAAAGCCAAGACTTGTTCAAAAGATCAGAAAGAGAGATGTTGTGCTGTTAATGTTCTCATGGTAACTATGATGCTCTCTTTACCCGGATGCATTTGTATTCTAAAGGCACATGGATATTTCTCAATAAAAAATATAGAATCTTAACATTTTTGAGGTGTTGAGAAAAAACAAAGTGATGACAAAATAGATATCTGAAGCTACAACATTTCTTGGATTTATTAAACAGTGCGAGGAAGTTAAAGTAGAAGGAAGTTATGCCTTTGCACATTTAAATTTCATCACATCTGAGAAACTTTGGTAACCTTTAATTTCCCTTCATGTTCTTTATTATAAAAATATAGCACATTAACTTGGAGTACCTCTTAGAGACATCTTGAAAACCGTATTTTAGAAAATAAACTCTCAGTGGAGAAAGAAAGGTGTCTCTCTGTTATGATGCAGATGAAATTTGTAAGCCACTTTAAGCATGTTCCTTCCTCATTTCTTCCAAAGGAATGTATTTTGATTTTACAAAATGCTATATCGTCTTAAAATATTTTCATATTTATTTTATGAATAGAATTTTTTTCCAATAAAAATGTGAAGGAAATGGTGAACCACAGCTATCAATTTCTCTCTATATACAATCTTTTAATTATACCTTGCGTTCAGCTCCTCCTTAATAAAACAGAAGTGAACTTATTAAGATGGAAACTTATCCCGAAGTATAAACTAATGTTTTGTTTTGTTTTGTTTTGTTTTTAAGTGCATGTACTGCTGAAGTGAACACAAAAAATCATGTTTTTTCTTTTTTCTTTCAATTGTACTTTAGGTTCTGGGTACATGTGCAGGGCTGTAGATATATCTCAGCTCAAGGGAAATAACACTGACCCACCCCAACCTCGCACAAGTTGTAGTATTTTACAATTTAACTAGGTCGCCACTCATAGCTGGTGCTTTAAATGATTGAACAAATTACCTCAGTTTACTTTCTCCTAGTAAATCAATTCAAAACAGCTTGATTTTGTACAACTAGCAAAAATTTTACTTGAGATATTTAAACTCAGACATCCTTAGCTTACTTTGCATTCTAGATGAAATAATTTCATGTTGTACCTATATGAGAGCAAATGGAATATGTATCTCCTTTGGTCTGATTTTTTAAAATAATAAATACATAAATACAGAGGAAAGTGTTAAGTACTAAGTACTAGCTCACACTTAAGCACACATGATCCAAATTTAACAAATGGAAGCATTTTGTCCCATTTGTCAGTTTTTTTCTCTTAGAAATCTAACAGCCAAAGACTTAATTTAAGTATCTCTATACTATTTCCCACCCTCAAGATATAACCATAATATTGAAGTTGATGTTTATGTCTTCTACGTGTTTATACTTTTGCTTTATGTGGGTAAATATATAATATACAATATTTTGGTTAGTTTTAAAAATTGAAGTCATACAGTGAATGTTTTTATAACTTGCTTTTTATTTAACATACCGCTTTAA